GGGGAAGAAGGTTCTGGAAGAGAACCAGTAAGAGTTGACACTTACTCAGTGCCCGCTGTGTGCCGGAGTCAGCTCTAAGAGTGAGTGAGTGTGTGTCTGTGTGGTCTGCATGTGTGTGAGCTTGTGTGTGTGTCTGCATGAGTCTGAGTGTGTGTCTGTGGGTCTGTGTGAGTCGAGTGTGTATCTGAGTGTGTGTGATTGTGTGATTGTGTGTGTCTGTGCCTGCATGTGTGTGTGCATATGTGTGTTTGTGTGTGTCTGCATGAGTCTGAGTGTGAGTCTGTGTCTGAGTGTGTGATTGTGTGCGTGAGTCTGTGTGTGTGAGAGTCTCTGTGTGTGTGATTGTGAATGTGTGAGAGTCTGAGTCTGTGTGTGTTCCTGTGTGAGTGTGTGATTGTGTGTGTGAGTTTGTGTCTGTGTGTGGTTGTGAATGTGTGAGAGTCTATGTGTGTGAGAATCTGTGTGTGTGACTGTGTGTGTGTGAGAGTCTGTGTGTGTGACTGTGTGAGTGTGTGTGTGTGAGAGTCTGACTGTGTGTGTGTGTGTGTGTGGACTCCTTTCCTCTGCACACCGACTGAGGGACAGAGAACGCGAGCAGCAGCCCGGCCGCAGTCACAGTCGGCAGACGCGTGCCTTGGGGCAGACGCAGGCCCGAGGGGAGACAGCTGTGCAGTGAAGAGCCCGAAGGAACAGACCCGGGTTCCAGGAGTCGCCCTGCGCTCGCCGTGCTCCGCCTGCCGGGCAAGCGGCTCTTGATTGAGAGGCCGCCCGAGCTCCGAGCCGGGCCCTGGGGTGAGCGGCCAGGAGGCGGAGCTTGCCCACTCCCTCCCTAGTGAGCGGCCCTGCCATCCTCCCTCTGGGAGGAGTCACCGGAGCGGGCAGAGATCCTGCAGTCCTAAGAGCTGTGCTCGCTCAAGGCCCCGGAGCCTGAGGGGAGAACAGGCCGCGAGGCAGAGAAGTGCAGCAGGCCCGGGAGGGAAGGCGGGGGCTGCCCGAGCGAGGTCACCCCGGAGCCAGGCCTGCCAGCCGCCCCATGCGGAAGTTTTAGCTCTGCCCTGGGATCCGTCAGGCTGGAATTGTGCCCTGGAAGTCAGACAGGACGCCCGGGGATTCAACAAGCGAACTTGCTCTAATGACGCTTTAAGCCTCAGCATCACCCATCCCACCGTGCACAGGGTCTGGAGACCTGTGGCTGCCGCAGGGGCCCTTGGGGACGGCACGTGCCAGGCTGAGGCCCGGGGAGGGGGCAGCCAGGGAGCACAGGGTGGGCTAAGCCAGCGCCAGCATCACGGCGACGAGGGAGGCGCACACGGCGACGAGGGAGGCGCACACGGCAGCCCACTTCCCCCCTTGCAGAGTGCCCATCGCAAGGAGCCCACCCCGCGGCACCCTCTGCACAGCACCCTGGCTTCCCTTGGAAACGTTCTTGCCTCTGTTGTCAGCCTCCTTCCTGGGTGGTTCCACGGGGCCAGAGCCCTCCCCCGCCCACTCCGGCTGCACCCTCGAGAGGGGAACGGTGCCTCGGAAGCAGCCGTTAAATCCTCGCCGAATCAACCGACATCCAGCAGTCGAATGCGAGGAACGGTCGTTCCCTGTTCAGTCCCACGACTCCTACCTGTGCGCAGACACGCGTGCTCCCTGCCTGCCGCCCTCGCCTGGCCGATTCCAGTGCCCCAGTCACGGGGACTCCTGAGGCACCGTAGGTGACAGGTGGGCCAGGCACAGCGAAAGAAGGAAGTGGCCTCTTGACACCAAACTCACCGTGACCCAGAGACCTTGTATGTGAGCAGACATGTATGTACACACGTGTGGACGTGAGCAGATGAGCACGGAGCAGGTTGTTAACACTGATTGCCTGAGGGCTGGAGACGCATGCTGTAGTATGTGTGGGCACGCGCGTGTACATGTGTGTGTGTGTGTGTGTGCATGTGTACTGCGTGTGTGTGTGCAGACTTGCGAGCACGATGCAGCTGATGCTTCAGTGTGTGACTTCTGCGTGCGATCCACGGTGCTGCCATGTAAAAGGTCCAGGTTCCCTAGGCCGAGGGTTCCTCTTGTAAAAGCGGCTACATGGGCAAGAGCTGCTGGGCCTCCCTCACAACCCCGGGGGGCCCCAGAGGGACCACCCGCTTCATGGCTGCCCTGGGTGACGGCCTGCACCAGGGTGAGATCTCAGAGCCCTGGCAGACAGGTCCAGGGCCTGCCCCACCACCGAGGGCCCCGCTGCAGCGTGGGCTCTGACTACTGTCCAGCTCCCCCCGCCCCACCCCCGCCTCGTCAGCCTCCGGCCGCGCCTGGTCCCGGGGACAGGGCTCGGGGGTGCCGTGCACCTGCTCAGCTCCTGCTGACTGGGACTGCACACGGCTCTGCTGGCTGCCCAGGGAACCGACTCTGGACTCATTTCAGGAGGCAATTTTCCATTGGAATGCATTTATTTCCCTAAAGACCCTGATTATATTCCTGGAAATATTAGTAATGGGCTCCCTGTCAGGATCATTTAGCGGAAGCTGAGGGCTGCGCTGTGCGCACCTGGATGGAATCTGTTTCTGGGTTCTGTCTCTCTGTGATTTCTGTAAGCCGGGCTCTTCACTGCCACGGGAGTCACCGGGGCTGGAGGCCGCCTCGCCAGGCAGGGACGGAGGCCAGGTGTCTGCGAGGACCTGAGTGTTCAGTGTGTGGCCACGAAGCACCGGGAATGCAGCCAGTGTGGGGCGGGGCTGTGGAGGGGTGAGGCTGCTTCGTGGAGTGCCAGGCGTAGCCGTAGCCTGCAGCGCTGGCATCCCGTACCACGGCACTGGCTGAATCCCGGCTGCTCCACTTCCGCTCCAGCTCCCTGCTGACGGCCTGGGACAGCAGCGGCAGACGGCCACGTGTTGGGTCAGAGGAGACATGGATGGAGCTCCAGGCTCCTGGCTTTTGGCCTGGGCCAGCTCCGGCTGTTGTGGCCATCTGGAGAGTGAACGAGTGGATGGGAGATTCTCTCTCTCTCTCTCTGTGTAGATCTGCCTTCCAAATAAATAAAATTAAGCTTCAAAGAACAGAAATGGGGCTGGCCTCGACAGAGGTGTACAACTGAAAACCACGCCCATTCCTAAGGCTGCGTGTAGGAAACGCTACACTGCTTACACGGGGAGATGGCGCCATGTTTCATACGATGGGTTAAACACAACACGCTATGAAGTCATCCAGGGAACTGCGTAGCAATTCAGACGCACTTGGGGCACCCACATCCTGTCTCAGAGTGCCTGGGGTCGGGGGCCGGCTCTGTTCCCCGCTCCAGCTCCCTGCTAGCGACAGCCCACATAACGGGGGCCCTGCCGACAAGACTGCCAAGGCCGCGGTGCCGCGAACACCGGGCTCACTGCTGCTCCGCCTGCACGGTGAGAAGCTAGGGCCTGGGCTGCGGTGGGCACCGCCTCATGTGCCAGGATCAGCAACCAGCTGTCCCCGGTTTTCCGTAATGAACGAACACTACAGCACGCCTGCGGAGTGCGTTTCCCATCAGGAATCGGTGGTGACCAAGGCCGCCGGTGTGGCCTCAGCCGAGGCAGGGGGGCGGGCAGGCCACAGGCAGTGCACGGCTCCCCAGCCCTACAAACAGGGGAGTGAGGGAGGTGAGCCAGGCCCAGAGAGAGGACCAGCACCTGACTCGGTGACGCGGGTGTCCCGCCGTGCAGAGTGCTGGCTGCGGAGTGACGGCGGCGGCACTGCGGGCTCCTGGTCCAGGCAGACACACTGCAGGTGCACACTGGGAGAAGCCCTGGGTCTGCTGCACAGCACGGCGGGCGCAGCTGTCACAAAGTGTTAGTCCCCCGAGATCGCCCCGGGGGAGGACTTCAGCTTTCTTAGGTGGGAAAGAAAGCTGGATAATTTCAGGCTCATGAGCTGGAGGCCACACCCCTCACTGTGTTGCTGTGTTCACCTGCCCGTCAATCAGGCGACGGCCCCCAGAAGTGCCTCCTCTCACCCGGGACCTGGGGTGGGCCCACGTAAACACCCCCGATCTTCTAAGCTCATAAGAAGCCGGGGCGAACGAAGCGCACTCTGTCCTTGTGGACTCAGGACGAGCGGAGCAGGCCATGGTGATGCCCCTCCCCTGGCCCACTCGCCCCGAAGCCCTCACGCGCCTGCGGCCCCATCTCACCTGCGGCCCCATCTCACCTCATGGCACCGCACGTCATGTCTGCACCTGCACTTAGAGCTCTGCTCCAGCACAGGCGAGCGTCTGGAACCCTAACGCAGGCCGACCAGCCACGACCCCTCCCCACACAGAGCAAGCAGGAGGCAGGGCCCATGCTCACCAGCTCGCCGAGCAACGCACACACTTCACGAGGACGGGCACACGATAGAGAGGGGGCGGGAAGAGACGGGGAGGGAGGGAAGGAGGGAGAGGAGGAAGTCCAGACACGGCCACGCCAGCCGATGCCACCACAGAGGAGGAAGTCCAGACACGGCCACACCAGCCATGGAGGAGGAAGTCGACACTCGGCCACACCAGCTGAGGCCACCACGGAGGAGGAAGTCCAGACACGGCCACGCCAGCCGATGCCACCACAGAGGAGGAAGTCCAGACACGGCCACGCCAGCCGATGCCACCACAGACCCAAGTGGAAGCCCGGAGTGCAGCAGCTGGAGGCGTGATGCGTGCGCCCCGACCGGGAAGCCCTTACTGCAGCATGGGCTCTCCTTGTGAGTGCAAGGCCCAGGCCCCATCCCCACGGTCCCGGCAGCCCCTCCCCCCGAGTCCCCACGGTCCCAGTAGCCCCTGGGTCCCCACAGTGCCAGCAGCCCCCCGAGTTCCCACGGTCCTGGCAGCCCCTGCCCCCTGAGTCCTCACAGTCCTTGGCAGCCTCCCAAGTCCCCATGGTCCCAGCAGCCCCCCAAGTCCCCACAGTCCCAGTAGCCCTTCCCCCCCAGTCCCAGTAGCTCCTCCCCTCCCCCCCGAGTCCCCACAGTCCCAGCAGCTCCATGGCGGGGGTGGGGTGGGAGGTGGCTCTTACCTTGATGACGTCCTCGTCCGTGGATGCGCACTCCACCGACTCTGAGATGTCGCTCACGGCCCCGCTCTCCTCCACGGACACCACCCTGACGGGCACGGTGACCGTCTTCCCCGTGAGCATGGCCGTGTTCAGGATCTCCGTGTCCTGCCGAGGAAGCACACGGCCTTGTCAAGGGAGATGCGGCTCCGCGGGGCGCGGGGGCTCCTGGGGCAGCCGTGTCACGCGGCCCTGGCACAGATGCGCGGAGCACTCGTCTGAGGAAGCCGGCAGCCACTCCCCGAGAAAGTTCCAGAAGCGACCTCTAGTTTAGGAGGCTCCTCTTAGCTCCCGACAACCATAAAACGTGTGTTCTCTCCGTGGCTGGAACACGCAGAATTCGCATACACAGCTGGGTGTTGGCTGAAAACCAAGGCTTGCAGATTTGCAAAAGGCCCCGTGCCAGGGTGGTGACACCCTCCCCCGCCCCACAAGCGGTAGCCGTGTTCTGACCGCCACACCTGTGAGCCTCACCTGATGTGGTGAGAGGGGCTTTGCAGATGCGGCTGGGCTAAGGGTCTTGGGTGACCTGGGAGGACCCAGTGGGGCTGCAAGGGTTGCATATGACAGGGGCCGTGGTCAGAGCCCCAGAAAGGTCACAGAGACGTGGCTGTGGGCTGAGAGACACAGCAATGGGTGGGGGGCTTTGTTCTGCCCAGGGCTGTTGGGATATTTAGTGTGATTTGTGGGCCGCATAAAATGATCAACTTAAAAATTATTCCTCTGTAGATCGACTGAATTCTGAGTGCCGCCTGCAGCTGCCTTGGCAGAACCAGATGTCACCCACGCTTGCCCTAGAAGCTGGAAAAGGCAGGGTTTCACCCGGGCATGTCCATGGCACGTGGCCCCTGGGGCTCCAGGGGGACACCCGTGCTCCTTTGTGCAGGGACATGGTTGTGCTCCCCATCACAGATACAGGAAGGCACGGAGGGGGGGGGGTGGGATGGACTCTGGGCACGCCCAGGAAGCTCTGCCAGGGCCTCCTCCAGGCTGCCTTCCAGGATCCCGCCAACAGGAGATGGAGCCACTTCCCTGCTGAGTCACTGCTCGAGGTTCAAGTGTCACTGGGATCCTGATGGGGACACAGTGACAGACAAGCCCGCGGAGACTGGTTCCACCAGGTGTTTTTAAAAAATCAGGCTCCTCTTCCCCGAGGAAGCCAGGCCGGGCGACAGCGTCCACCTGCACCAGCGAGCTGCCGTCTTCTTCCCCTGGGGCCTGCCACGCTTCGGCTGTGGACAGCGACCACCAGGGCCTTCGCAGTGCAGGTTTTACTAAGCAGACTCTTCCCACCTGGTGGCCCAGGAGGGGCCCCGCCACCCAGCCGGGGGACGTCACCTCACCCTGTTCTCGCCGACTCCTCATCGCGCCCCACTGGCGGTGTGCAGTGGCGGCAGAAGTGCCATCTGCTGAGTCAGCAGGCGGCCGCCTGCGTAGCCCTTCCCTTCCTGACCGCAGCCTGCGGACGGCGCCAGCTTGGAACGGGGGCTGCCGGGAGAGGGATTTCGCTCCTGGAGGAGCAGAGAGGAGCTGGTGCACTCAGCCAGGGCGCAGGCGAGCAGGCCAGCAGGACGCAGAGGCCCAGCCTCGCTCGGACGCCCGTGGCCACCATCGGCACTGCCGGTCTCCCCAGGGCCGCAGGACCCCCGGGGCAGACGCCAGGGATGCACGGGAGACCCCAGGCCCACCTTCGGGAGCACACAGGGGTGTGCTCAGAGTTCTGTCTCTGAAGCTTCCCTCTGGGGGTGGGCTCTGGCTAACAGCTTCATTAGAGCCACACACGCCCTCGTGGGTTAGCTGTGATCGGCATTCTGCTGGCTGCTCTCTCTCTCGCTCTCTCTCTCTCTCTCTCTCACAAACACACACACCCCACCCTGCCTCACTCGCTCTACCCCTAACCTGGTTACCAAGACTGAGACTGCCTGGACACCGACTGATCTTCCAGGGGCCACAGCCATGGAAACAACAGGCGGAAAGGCGGCCGGCCCGTGGGAGGGCGCAGGCCTCGCTGTCCTGACTGGCAGCTGTGCCCTCTGCTCTTCACCTGGGGGCCCTGGGGCCTGGAAGCCCGGATTCCTCTCCGGGTCACACCGCTCACATCCGGGAATCCTCACTTCCTCCCCTTACGGGTTAGAGGCTGAGCTACGCACTCTCGAGCAGGCTTCGTGTCCATCAAATCCTGGACACCTGTCTTAGTCCACCTGGGCTGCGACAAAATACCACACACGGGCACAAACAGCAGAACCTGGCTTCTCCCTGCTCTCAGACAGGATGTTCAGGATCCAGATCCCGTGTCTGCCGAAGGCAGAGAAGTAAAGATCTGTGCCTGTGTGGCTGTACGGGTGCCTGTTACTGTGTGTGCCTGTATGTGTGTGCCTGTACAACTGTGTGTGCCTGTATGTGTGTGCCTGTACAACTGTGTGTGTGCCTGTGGCTGTGTGTGCCTGTATGTGTGTGCCTGTACAACTGTATGTGTGTGCCTGTGACTGTGTGTGCCTGTATGTGTGTGCCTGTACAACTCTGTGTGTGCCTGTGGCTGTGTGTGCCTGTATGTGTGTGCCTGTACAACTGTATGTGTGTGCCTGTGACTGTGTGTGCCTGTATGTGTGTGCCTGTACAACTCTGTGTGTGCCTGTGGCTGTGTGTGCCTGTATGTGTGTGCCTGTACAACTGTATGTGTGTGCCTATGGCTGTGTGTGCCTGTGGCTGTGTGCCTGTACAACTGTATGTGTGTGCCTGTGTGCCTATGTGTGTGTGTGCCTGTGGTTGTGTGCCTATGTGTGTGCCTGTGTGGCTGTACGTGTGCCTGTGACTGTGTGTGCCTGTACAACTGTGTGTGTGCCTGTGGCTGTGTGTGCCTGTGGCTGTGTGCCCATGTGTGTGCCTGTACAACTGTGTGTGTGTACCTGTGGCTGTGTGCCCGTGTGTGTGCCTGTGAGTATGTGTGTGCCTGTGACTGTGTGTGCCTGTATGTGTGTGCCTGTACAACTGTATGTGTGTGCCTGTGGCTGTGTGCCTATGTGTGTGTGCCTGTGGTTGTGTGTCCATGTGTGTGCCTGTACAACTGTGTGGCTGGATGTGTGTGTGCCTGTGGCTGTGTGCCCATGTGTGTGCCTGTACGGCTGTGTGGCTGGATGTGTGTGTGCCTGTGGCTGTGAGCCCGTGTGTGTGCCTGTACAACTGTGTGGCTGGATGTGTTACTGCCTGTGGCTGTGTGCCCATGTGTGTGCCTGTACGGCTGTATGGCTGGATGTGTGTGTGCCTGTACGGCTGTGTGTGTGTGCCTATACGGCTGTGTGGCTGGATGTGTGTGTGCCTGTGTGTTCATGTGCATGTACCCCAGGTGGTGCAGCTGTGTGCACACACGCACCTGTGTCTGTGTCCCCTTATGTGTGCGTGTGTGTGCCCGAGTGCCCACGTGTGGGGCACTGACGTTACAGACACAGGACCCTCTGCGGCCGGTCTCACCTCCCGAGTGCCCTGCAGGTGGAGACCGTGCACAGTGCAACACCCAGCACAGACAAGCACACTGTTCTCGGAAACCTGTCCAAGCCCCACCGTGCCGCGCCGCCGGCCGGGAGCAGACGCCGCTCCTTCCTCCTGTGGCCAGGCCTGGGCTGCAGCCGCCTCCTACCCCAGCCCCCTCGGCTGTCAGCTCAGCATCGCAGGGGCAGCCCTCCCTGGAGCCTCACGGTGTCCGGGCCCTGTGGCCTGCAGCCGGGCAGAGCACAGCGTCTCTCAGAGCCACCGCAGAGCCTGAGACAGGGCGGGCACGGCTCTGACTCGGGAGCTTTGTCTTATTAAACTCGGCCTCTCTCCTGCTCCGCGCTCTGTCCCTCCACCCCCTCGGCCATAAATCACGGCACCATTCTATTTCATGAAAAAGAATCCACGCACAGGGCACCGTAAATCACCGTCATTTCAGATTTGGACAAGGCCCAGGCCTCTGAGAAAACACACCCTGTTGTTTGATTTGGCCTCATAAATGTAAATTGGTCTGGCCGCTTTCTGGAGAAATCGTATTTTAAATTTTTAAATAAATAAAGAGCACAGAATTGCTTCTGGCATGTTGAGAAGACTCGGTGTGAGCCGACTGAAATGTCAGGGGAGGGACTGGCCGTGGAGAGGGGCAGGTGCCCCCGGAATGGGTGTGGACTGCCCCCAGGGGCTCCTGTGCAAGGCAGAACGGAGGGGGAGAAGTAGCGTATCCTTGGGGTGGAATATTATGCAGCCGTCAAAAGGGAGGGAGAGCTGATGCAGGCAACACCGTGGCCGGGTCATGAACACATGATGCTGTGTGAATTGGAGGGCACAGGAGCCACCCATCACGGGGATACACGGAGCAGACAGACCCACGGCTGCAGGAGCCACAGTGCTGGTGTCCTGGGCTAGGGGAGACAAGACCAGCAACGTCGGCTGAGGGAGCTTCCTTGGGGCGTGGGGATGTTCTAGAACGGGACCCTGGAGCTGGGTGTGTGTCAGGAACCAGACTTCTGTGCTTTAAAACAACACGGCGCACATCCTGTGCCTCCTACCTCATGACAGAATCTCAACATCATAGCAGAGAGGGAGAGGGAGAGACTGCTCCAGCAGCAGGGCCTGCGGACAGGACGGCCAGCATGTGGTGGACGCCGTCCACTCTTCCTGGCCTCTGACCGGGCACAGCGTGGCTCCCCTGCACCCGAGCCCTCTTTGGTTCTGTCACCTGCCGGCCACCGCGGCCTCCCACCGAGTGGCACAGCACCATGTCTGCGGATGCTGCTCCTGCTGCCTGGGACGCCACCCACCCCTCGGGCCCCGTGGTCCCCCGCCCCTGCTCTCTGAGCAGAGAATTCCCCATGGCTCTCGTCACCCACGAGGCTGCACGGTGCCCCGGGTGCCTGGCACTGGGGATCCCCCTTGCACTTGCTCCACATGTGTGGGCAAAGGATGGAAAACAGACACCGTGTGTGTCTTCCTGGTTTGCCAGATTTTGTAGGGAATCTGGGGCACGGGGCTTTCTGAAGATGGCCTCGAATCAGGAAGAGGGACCTAGGCCCGCTTCCCGCGGGAGCGCAGCCCAGGCCCTGGATGGAGTCGTGGCCTGACAGTGCCAGCCTTGCAAACAA